TATACATGGAGGAATATTTTCATACATAAAATCAAAATATAGGTATAGGTTACCAAACTAAAACCGCAAATTGTAAAATCATTAAAGTATGACTAGCAAACACTGACATCTGGACATTAACATCAGATAATAAAAATCGGGATATCACAATATGTCGTCCAGGGCAATTATCTCTGTGGAATATTAATGACCTTTAGGGAAGTTATCACAGACAGGCTAGCATATATATCAATGTTGTTTAGATAGAATATAATTTTTCAATCGATGTTGGAAAAAAGGATCTCTTGGGGAATCTTATTCCAATTTAGCAGCTTTTTATAATTATTATTTTCATACCAGTTGTGGTCTTAGTCCAAGAGACGAACAAATTATTAGTTTGTCTTGTAATTGTAACTAATTTAAAATCTCTAAGAGTTATTAGGTTATTGAGCCAGTTATGCAAGTGATTATTCATTATCTAAGAAAGGAATAAATAAATAAAATAAAAAACGTACAGGTCAAATACACTCTTATTGCCCACTTTTAGCTCTTCTGGCTGCTTATGTGCGGAGGTTGCATGATCATACTTTTTAAACCTCTTCCGGCTGCCTCTACTACGAAAATTTCATATCTTTCAGCTCTTCCTCTGTGAACTTTGTTTGTGGCTCCCAATATCCTCGAGCAATGATTTAAGAGGCCACGTATTAGAGCAGTGGTTCCCAGCCTTTTCTATTCCTTCGCCCCCGACCATTGTATAATAACCTTCATGGTCCCGTTCAGTGACCATCTTTTCAGATCCAGTTATTACTTGTTATAAATAGTGCAATGGTGTTAGTAGCTATTGGAAAAGGATACTTTTTCGAAAGATTACAGTTGATTAATATGTAATATATATATATATATATATATATATATATATATATATATATATATATATATATATATATATATATATATATATATATATATGCTGTAGGTGAGATAAAATTCAAATTAATTCGACAGCAACATTTTCATAATGCTCCATAGCCCCCTAGAAACTACCCCGTGGCCACCTGGTTGAAACCCCTGAGAATGTCATCTTTTCCTTTTTCCTCCATTCTGGGGTGATTAAAATTTCGTACGACCGTGACAGGACTCGAACCTGCAATCTTCGGATCCGAAGTCCGACGCCTTATCCGTTAGGCCACACGGTCTCTGTTTAATAAATGAAACATCACTAATAACCATTCTAAGACCGTTGCAATATTTCATGCATTCTGCTCATTTTTATTTTATTCACTTACTACCATCATTATTTATTCACCTTGTGATACACTCACACACACACACACACACACACACACACACACACACACACATATACTATATATATATATATATATATATATATATATATATATATATATATATATGTATGTTATATATATATATATATATATATATATATATATATATATATATATATATATATATATACATATGTGTTGTGTGTGTGTGTGTGTGTAGCTGGATTAATATATCTGTTATCTATTTATTTATTCATATGTGTATATATACACATATGAAGAGATGAATAAGAACGAAGTGATGATAAGAGAGACGAAGAGAGTTAGAAGGAGGGAAACGAGGAGATTGATTGTTTATATGTGAATGAAGGAAGTGGGAAAGGAAGACAGGAGTAACGGCGGATGTCGTGGACAAAGGCAGAGAACCTAAGACCTTCCTGAAGTATCTTTTAAGGAGAGATATTTAAAGAAAGGAAAGTAATGTGAAGGGCATATGCAATAGAGAGATAATATATATATATATATATATATATATATATATATATATATATATATATAATAATATATAATTACATATACGTATATACATATATAATAGTTATATATATATATATATACATACATACATATATGTGTATAATATATATATATATATATATATATATAATATATAATATATATACATAATATATATATATATATATGTATATATATATATATTATAATATTATATATATATATATATATATATATATATATATATATATATATATATATATATATATATATATATATACATATATATATATATATATATATATCTATATATATATATATATATATATATATATATTATATTATATGTTATATATATACATACATACATATATATATATATATATATAATATATATAATATATTATTATATTATATATATATATATATATATATATATATATGTATGTACATATATATATATATATTATATATATATGTATATATATATAATTCATTACAATAATTTTGCAATCTATAAAATGTTTAATAAGGCTTAAATAAAGGCTACATGGAGGAATATTCTCATTCATGAAATAAAATAAAATAAAATAAGAGGTATAGCTTACCAAACGCATTTTGTAAAATCGTAATCGTATGATTAGGAAACACTGACATCGGAACATTAACATCAGATAATAAAAATCGGGATATCACAATATGCCGTCCAGAGCAATTATCACTGTGGAATATTAAGGGCCTTTAGGGAAGTTATCACAGACAGTCTAGCATATATATCAATGTTTAGATGGAATATAATTCTTCAATCGATGTTGGAAAAAAGGATCTCTTGGGGAATCTTATTGCAAAGTTAGGGCTTCTTACCATTATTTTTTTCATACAAATTATTAGTTTGTCTTGTAATTGTAACTAATTTTAAATCTCTAAGAGCTATTAGGTTATTGAACCAGCTATGCAAGTGATTATTCATTAAAAAAAAAAAAAAAAAAAAAAAAAAAAACACGTACTGGTCAAATACACTCTTATTGCCCACTTTTAGCTCTTCTGGCTGCTTATGTGCGGAGGTTGCACGATCATACTTTTTAAACCTTTTACGGCTGCCTCTACTACGAAAATTTCATATCTTTCAGCTATTCCTCTGTGAACTTTGTTTGTGGCTCCCAATATTCTCGAGCAATGATTTATGAGGCCACGTATTAGAGCAGTGGTTCCCAGCCTTTTCTCTTCCTTCGCCCCCGACGTATGTATGATAATCTTCATGGTCCCGCTCAGTGACCATCTTTTCAGATTCAGTTATAAATAGTGCAATGGTGTCGGTAGCTATGGGAAAAGAATACTTTTTCGAAAGATTACAGTTGGTTAATATGTTATAGGTAATTATATATATATATATATATATATATATATATAATATATATATATATATATATATATATATATATGCTGTAGGTGATATAAAATTCAAATTAATTCGACGCCAACATTTTCATATTGCTCCATAGCCCCCTAGAAACTACCCCGTGGCCACCTGGTTGGAACCCCCTGATCTAGTCATTGTCTCTCTGAGAATGTGTCATCTTTTCCTTTTTTCTCCATTCTGGGGTGATTAAAATTTCGTACGACCGTGACAGGACTC